ATAACACTTTCCATATTATATTACTTGCAAAATAGACGTCTCATTGAATAAAAATTGACATTATATAATAATATATTGTGTCTCACCGTTCAGACATAAAAATATATTTATTTTATTTTAGTATTTTCTTTGTTACAACTAAAGACTGGGCTGTTTTATATCTTTTGTAAACCCACCCCATATAAATAACTTTCGTTATTGTGCGTGTAACCCAAAATAACTTGGACAGACGACTAACGACATTCATTTGCCAACTATGTACAAATAAAAGTACATTTATTTATGTAAAAGAAAAAAAACATAAAGGAAAAACTTGACATATTATATTTTTTAAACACTTATGGTTAAATTATAAAAAAAGAAGCAATATCGTTATTTATATGCTGAATCAGATACAATGAAAATTATGTGTTTATATACACAGGTATTTGATATTAATAATTGCCATCATTATGATAAAATTGTTTTTCGTTTTGTCTGTAGTTGTCTGCTTGGTGATAATGATAACTAACAATGACGTATTCAATGAGAAAGACACATAATATTATAGCGATGACGGTTTTATGCATAATGAGACGTCTGTTTGTCATTTTATATGCATTTGCGCTGTAGTATTTGTGCCATAAAAATAACTCTTACACTATATTTATGTAGTCTATTGTCAAAAATCTTGCGGCTATTATTTTAAAGTCGTATCCAAGAATTTATAATATTATGCATTCAATTATATTATGTAATACACAGTAGTTGAAATTATCAGTTAGTAATGTACTGAATTCCGAGTTAGCGAATTAACCAAAATTATTTCTTATCTATTGCGTATCAAAACTATTGCCTACTTCATATTTTTTTCGCGATGAGAATAAATTGTACTTAAAATAAGATATTTATACGTATACAAATATTTACTATAATATACTTGAAAAAAATATTTAAACGTCAATGATATCTCATTTAACTTCATAATTCGTACGTATATACATAATACGTTCAAATAATGATTGACAAATGATTGAAACACAAATCGTATATTTACTATAAACAAACTAACAACGAACACTTGAAATTATTAACTATTAAGAAGATTTTGTATTATGTCGTTCTACATTTTGATATGGTAGTTAAATATTTAAAAAACTAAAATTATTTAGTAAATACTAAATAGTAATTATATTCAACATGATGATGATAGGGTTATAATTTATTGGATGTAAATTAACAAAATTGTTAATAAAATAAAGAAAAATCCTAGTATATTCTTGCACACTAAAATACAAATGTATAACTTTAAGATACTTAAAAACATTTTTTACGTTACACTTAAAATATCATGATTAAACCTATCTACATCTAAACACAAATAATTTATTTAATTTTGCTTGGCATGATTTTTATTTAAGTTTGTATTTCTTTGATTTTGAGTTTAATTTTGATAAACTACCGTACAGCGGTTGTGGCTACTATGTTTATCATAAAAAATGGCCATGTATACAAATATAAAAGATTTCAGACTTGTTATGTCTTTAATTTTTAAATGTTGTTTCATATTTATTTTATATAATTATTATACTGTCTAAGAAAAGCTTGCCGTTTATATCCATCACAGTTAACATTTTTCTGTTTTTGACATTTATGCAGCTATATTATTTAAGATTTATTATTGAAAGACAACCGGTAAAATAATTACGACTCCATTAAAATACACGTCATGAAACCTTTTTAATCAATAACAATAATACCCATGCAAATTATTAATAAAAAACTAACGAATAAATTTAAAACTTCTGTAAATGCATATTCTGTTTATAAGCAAAATACAAAGAAAAGAAAATGAAGAAGGCGCATGAAAACAATTAATCAGCTTGAATTAATACAATTTACAGACTTACAGTGATCCTTATAAAATAATCGTGTAGGTAGCGCAAAATTACATAACGATTGCAGTATCATACACAGACAAATATAACTATAATTTTGACGTTCTAACTTAAATAACCATCAGGCAACAACAAACTAATGATTCAGTAGATAATAACGTACAATATAATGAAATACTATACGTGTAAAAAGTAGATATTGTATTAAAATTTTAAACATCTATTTAAATTAAATAAAATAATAAAAAAAGTAATCAATTGTTCACAAAATCGTTTAAAATATAAACAAATCTAATTGCATTGTATTTAGTTATAAAGATAAATGAATAGGTTGTATTAAAAAGTAACAAAATTATTAAAATAGATAAAAAATATTAACATATCTATAACATTTAAAATATGGTCATGAAATAAACAATAATAAACATTTATTATTAATATCTAACGAAGTTATTGAAATATTAAGTACTTACCTATTTTAAAGATGTTTTTAGTGAACTTTCTGTTACAATTATGTAAAATTCAATTCATAATTTTAATTTGTACATTATATTATATTATGATTGTTATTATACGTATATATGGGGTGAAATAGCATATTATGTTTATTTTACCTAAACTCATCAATATTTTGAAAATTGGATTCCACAATATGTTTTCTCGAGTAACTTTTATATTGTTCAGATTTTACGGTTTACGGAAACAACATTCCACACGGTGGTAATGCGTTCATATAGAAATCGAATTTATACAAGTTCCGGCACGACTATTGGAAAATTATTCAAATGTAAGAGAATATTCGACGAAGGGAGAAACACATTTGAACGATTATGTACGTAAACAGATCTATACGCACATTTGACGAATTTCCGTACAAAATTACATTTAGGAAGTTAAAATCCAATGGTCAATTTATCATTACACCATTCCTGTATACATGATCGTAAAATTCAGGAACTTGCGATTTTGAAATGTTACAAAATTATAACTCAATAACTCTCTGGTTAGAGTAAAATAGCCGTTTCGAAAACAACAGATCCGTCTAAATTATTGAAATTTGTTGTAAAATGAACAAATTATACAAAACAATGATAAGCATGATGTACATTATATGCATATCTGAGGTATGATATGTATTATTATAAACTTTTTATATCTAAACATAACAAACTGAAAATTTCTGAAACATCATCATAATATGAGTTATGTATATTACAGAAATCGCATCTCAGGAAAATAATATTAAATTAACACGAATCAATAAATTAGAATAGATAACAATTTATAGCGAAAATAAACTTATTAATAACGTCTCAATTATTAAATTTACAAAAAATTACGAAATATTATTGTTTGATTTTGTATACAGCAGTACATATTATTAATAAATGTGGTGAATTTGTTTGTATGCGAAACTTTTTATAAGCATCCGATGTAATAAAATTTAAAAAAAAAAATTGTAGAAACCTATTCACACACAATATATTTTGTTTATCTAGACAAGTTTTATACTAAGATTTCATAAATTATCAACACACGGTGTCCTTTTTTAATTAGATATATAGCTAAATATATGCACGTTCGTTATTTGAATTTTTTTTACCCTTTTTTGTGGAGTAAAATAACTTTTCATACTGAAAAACTTCTATGAACTTTTGAAATTACACAGACTTTTATCGAAAGATACAAATTATCGAGTTCAACATCAGAGGTAAAATATCGAGAGAAATAGTCAAAGTTTTTTTTTTTCGTTTAACCGATTAATATGATATCAAATAATAAAAACTAAATTGTTTTGTTCAAATAATAAGAATTAACACATAGGTTGATTCTGTAGAAAATCGTATACATAAATTTAATATAACTCCTTAGATTCACCAATTAGATTTTTCATGATTCGATGATAGACATTTTAAATGTCTGAAACAAATAAAATATGTTAACTTTTCAAAAGTTAACTACGTAAAACGTATAAACTATTATCTAGTAAGAAATCAAATCTACGCGGACTGCTTGATATCAATTAAACACAATATTGCCAATTATCTTAAATCAAATTATATTGAAGCTTTACTTAAACAAAAAAAAAAAAAAAAAAAAAACAAGAAGAAGAAGGAAAAGAATTAAAAATAAAGACACTGGGTGGGAAATGTATTAACATTACTCAGAACTCGGAAGGTGATTACTTCAATATAACACATTCAGAGTCTCTAGTATTACATAATATTATATTAAGGAACTATAAACCCTGCATTTACAATTTGCGTACTGTATACTAAACAAATTATATCCTATAGATCATGCTTATAACTCAAAAATACAATTACTAGATAACGGGTAGTTTTAAATAACAGTTAAAATAATACAATTGTAAAAACCCTCAAAACATTAAGAAAATTATTTTAATTGTGTACTAAAAGTGAAAAGAAAAATCTATAAGTACGTGTAGTATAAATAGTATAATATTTTCTTTTTATCGCCATTTAAAATAAGTTGATCGTGAAAAGTATTGTCTTTTTGTATAATAAAATATTTGATTCATTAAATTATAGTTAAAAAAGTATTATCTAATCGTTCGACGAATAACACTTCGTGATTATTTTTTTTTATTATTATTATTATTATTTTCATAATTATCATGTATAGTTGTTGTGTAACCTATATATTATGTTCACATAGCGAGCCATAAAATGTATAAAAATAAAAACAATTCTGTGAAACCGTATCATATAAATATTTACAGCAGATTCTTTAAATATTGCAATGAAAATAGTTTCAATTAAACCAACAAGTCTCAAAACCTTTATACCTACAATATATTTAAGTCCAAAATATTTCAAAGTATTAATAAATAAATGTTGTGTTTTAAATTTTTATCAGAAGAAATATTAATGTTCATAATATTATATCTTGATACAATTTTTTTTAAAGCTGTATAATATATATATATATATATTTTTTTTTGTTAATTTAATCAAATTTTACCTAAAAATTATTTTACTTAATTTAACAACGTAAAACTTAAGTTAACTGCATTCTGCTTGTGATATATAATCACAACTTAATTTATGTTTTGTTACGTCATGGCTTATTCGAATAAAATATACTAACACAAATACTTACTTCAGCCGGAAACGAGTAACCCTGGATTTTATGTTCAGACCCAAGATTGTTATCAGTGCCAAAGTGTATGTAGAATTCTTGGAATTGATAGCGATAAGTCAGAGGACCTTCGGTGATGTTCAAAACGTATTTCGACTCTTTATCCACTCTGAATACCAAAGATTGTCCAGTGTTTTCGATTGTTCCACTAACCTTTTATGTCAAACAAATTTATTAAAGAACGAATAACCAATGTAATCATTCAAATAACAGAAATTGTTTGATTAAATTTATCATTCAAGAAAGTTTATTGTGTATACCTACAATATGTTATGATTTTTGTAAACTTAATTTTGAAATATAATTTTTGTTCTTATCTGTAGTCAAATTATTTGTTTATAATATGTATTTGTATGTATGTGTATATCACACGGGTAAAAAAAAAGTGTCAAAGAGAACGAAATTAATATAGTCAGCTGAGTTATCAAGACGACAAGACGTTATATATACTGACATATTGCTTTCCGTTTCAAAATCCATTTTTCATAAAAATAATAATAATAATAATAATCGTATATTGTACACACCATATACTATATAGCATATATCTATGGAGTTGTATAGTATATAATATAAATAAATGTAGAAAATGTATACGAAATGTGTACTTCTTGAAAATCCTGATTCCAGACAGATTTTATTATTTTTCCGTCAATCCTTGCATAATATACAAGTATATATATATTTATTTTAAAAAAGAAGTCAGTTGAATATTATATTGCCGTTAAATTGAGCACGATAGCTACAAAAACATCATAGCTGAATATATATGCGTTTACTCTCACTTTGTCTTTATCGATGTGAAGATTTTTCAAAAATGGATCGAACAGCAGTTTATCCGGATCAATGTCAATTGGAGATTGCCGTTTGCCAATCGAGCATAACTTCCACAGTGGATTTAAAACTCCCCAATATTTTGGCCCTGAAAAATAAATTATTTATAAGTATATGTACACAGTCTGTGTTCGATATAAACGAGGTATTCTATATAGTCACACCTCGTACAGCTAAAGAGAGTCCACCTCAAAATTAATTTTATAACTACACAATATCAAATAATAGTTTCCAATTTATAAATTAATGAAATATATATTAACCTTTTACTTTTTTCATTATCGCAATTTACATTTATATGGTAATATAATTATTTTTTTCGAATCATTCAATAATATTTAAATAATACACATTTAGGATGTACATTATATATTATAATTTTACTAAATCTTTCATGTTTTAGGTATTTTATGTTATGTTCATATTATCAAATTTTTATAAGAATAAATGTTATACTTAAGTTCAGTCTATGATTGCAACTACAACCAACAATTACTACATTAAGTTGTTTCGTTACTCTTTTTGTATCTTTAAGAGCATCAACATTCTTACAACTAAAACCTACAAGCACGATAAGAATTTGCTTAAATAACATTTTTCTGAAAAATATTAGTAAAGTATATAATTTACTTTTAATATTTCAAGTAATTTATCAAAATAATAATAATATGAATAAATATAATAAAGTAAGACTGATTGTTTTATTTAAAATTATTACGAAAAAAATCACATTAATTTTCATAAAATAATTTATACATAGGTACTTTTAGAATATTTTATGTTATATATAAACTCTTATATTATAGTCTCTTAACTTCCACCAAAAAACCCATTTCCGTGTCAGTGAAACAAAAGCTTAACATAGTTATTTTGAAATTACACGTCAACATTAATTCACGTTTATTTATATTGTTCTCCTCTGTGTAAAGTCTAATGTGACGAAATATGATCTATTGCTCATTAAAGCACATTGGTGATACTCTCAATATAATATTAAATAAGCAATATGATATTATTTAAAGAAATGTCAACTGTTATTTCCACAATAATTTTCTCTACTAATAATTCGATCGAAATATTTTGCAAATGAAAAAAATAAAAAAAATACATGAATTAAATAATTTAAATATTAAACATCTACAATGTAATATTATTATTTAATATTTATTATAAATAGACAAAGATAATTCCATTATTTTTAGATACATAACAATATGTAATATAAATAATATAGATACAATGTAATACATCAGATATTAGGTACAGATATAAATTCAAGAAATATTGAATTATTTTTTTTTTAATTTATTAAGATATGAATAAATTATTGTTATGTATTTTTTTAGGTTGAAATTCAAGTAAAAAAACATCCAATATCAATGATGTTGAATTTAAAACCTCAATAATGAAAAATAAATAAAAATGACATTGAAACTCTCTCTCTATATATATATATATATATATATATGTATAAGTAGTTATATTGGTACACATAGTATGTATATATGCGTAATCGAAAATATCGCAGTAATTTTACGTTTATAAACTATTCATTTAACATTATTTATAGTATTATCGAGTACATAATTTTAAATTATTTAAGTTGAATCTGAACATTGTAAATTAATAAGTTTTAATGACTGTCAACCTTTAAAATGCAGTCAATCAAAAAATTATTAGAAGTTAAATGTATTTATACGTTTTACGAATAAAATACCTAATAATATATACTCGTATTATGGATTCAGAGAGAAGTAATGAATGTTTCAAACATTTTTATACAATAATGTTTGTGTGTGTGTGTCTAAAGTCACTTAAATAATAAAAAAAAATACTTAAATCTTCAACTTAAAAAGTAGTTTGGATTAATTAATCGGCTCAAGTTACTTTAAAATAAATCCGGAATTTTTCCAAAAAACCCATTTTTGATTAAATTAATTTTATATTTTTGTTGTAACTAAAAATAAATGACTATAGAGACTTGAGTTTGGACTCTAATTATCAATAGACCGTTTAAAAAATTATGTTACCGCACTTATAGAGTTACAATAATAAATTATAAGTGAATAATAAACAATATCTTTGTTGTCTATCTCAATTTTACAATAATTTATATTTTTTATTGGATTTTTTACAATTATAATTTATTGTAAAAATAATAGACAATTTTACTTCAACTGTTGTTTAAATCTCCAAGTTGATAATTACATTTTGATAGCTTTATAACTTATGTGCACCCATTTCTCTGATCATAAATAATATGCCACAAGCAGTTGTATATCTGATCAAAACTAAATTCATTTTGTTTTAATTACAATTATGTTTTTTTTTTCAATGGTTCTCACTTCAAAATATAAACGCTTTCAGTACCAAATGTGTTTACGAAAATTGTTTTATTGCTAATATAAAGAGAAATGGCTATAACAACTTCATGAATAAAATTAAATTTGTGAGTAGTACACAAAATACATTAAATACAGTTGGTGCAGAACTGTTACAATTTAAATAATAAATGATCATCGGTTATACGCTGTCAACAAATATTATGTAAGAACTTGAGTCTACATAATTTTATGTTATTACAAAACAATTTTTAGAAAAAAAGAAAACTTTTTTTTTCAATTTATTAAATTTTCTCATTTTAATCACAATATTTTATTTATTTATTTTTTTATTGCACATTCTAAAACAGGATATTTTTCAATTTCGAAAATTAGTAAATTTGTAATAAGTTTTTAATGTAATACTTGCACCGTTCATTGAATAATTTAAAAAATATTTATACAAAGTTGAAAAAATATAAAACTATTGTCAGATAATTATACGCAATTGAGTAAAAAATATTTTAAAAACAGTTAAACTTTTTGAAATATTAGGTTAAATAGATCATTTTGTATAAATTTCGTACAGTCATAAATCATTTAGTGTTATTAAAAGTGCTTTAAATTATTTAAGAAAAATACAGACACAAAAACCTGCTAAAAATGAGGAAAATGTCTCGCGTTATAAAATGTTATCGCATGACGACGATGACGATAATAATAATAAAACGTTATACGTAGGTAATCTGATGATTTGGAAAATCTCAAGTTCGATCGTTGGTAATACATCTATCAGTGCTTCAGTAAAACGCCGTGCGGTCGTGAACGTGACGTTCGACAAACCCTCAACACCGTGAAATTGAATTGGTCCATTTGCATATAATTTATATACATATACTTAAATATATTATATAAGCACACACACACACACACACATACACATACATATTTGACCCCGCTCGTCACGTCAAACCTCATGTCAACTTAAAGCACTGGTAACGCCGGTGCGACTATCCCTATAGCATACCTGTTTTTCCTACGCCAGTTTTGTTGTACTCTCTTGTACCCAACATTTCGTTCCCCACCTATGTCACATGACGTGCATAAATATAATATAATATGTTCAAAATAAAGTCACCGTTCGAAGGGTAAAACGCGTATAAGACGGTGTGCGTGTTCTGGACGTGGGCTCGTGACGGCCGCCCGATTCGCAGCGTGCCGCCGACGACCGACTTTCAAGCCCACCGGGAAGATTGAATCACAATCATCGACATACCCCTTATGTTATATATATAATACAACGTTTGGAGTCGGTAGAAAACTGTATCAGTTTTTGTTTTCTATAGAAATTTTACTCTTTGTCGTTTTTGTGGCAGGGCCCTGGGCCTCATCAACCTTCATCAGTAACGCGGAAATTTTGTCATTGGTTACCGCATTGCAGACGCTAAAATGTCGCGTATTTTACAACGACTAAAGTCGATAAGATTTTATTTATGTATTAAAATTATCTTGGGATTATGAGCCAATAGAGAATCAATCAATGTTCATTAAAATGTTTATTATTTTAATTCTGTTTTTTGAAATTGTTAAGTATGTACGTAAAATACTTTATTCCCAAATACTTCGATTCTTTAAACCATTTGACAAATAGCGTTTTTTTTTTTTTTTTTATCAAACTCTCTTCCTTCATTGTTCTAACTGTTAATTATTAAACAGATGATTTTTTGAATATTTTTCGTATTTATTGATCACAATTGCTTTGATTAATTTTTAAATTATAATAGGTAAGTAAACATTGTTTGAATATAATAAGTACTAGATTTTCTAGATTAAACATTACAGTATATAATTTATATTTTATGTTATATCAATATTAATTGCTATAATTATTCTTAATAAATAAAGTTTAATAACTCAGAAACTAGTAACTAATTGTTAAAATTCAATTCAAATGCATAAACAATTATAAGAAAAATATAATATGCTAACTATTCATTAACAACAATAAAAAAGGTAATTGAAAAGAAAAAGATTGTATCGTCACAGAATACTCTTTAACTGGTAAACAAAATCTGTAAATATTCAATAAAATATGGTCCTTAAGTATACTTAAAAATGTTATAGTATGACATAAATACATTAAAAGGATAAAAAGAGGGTTAACTCTATACTTGGTAAATTATCCTGTACATAGCATGTATATATAAATATATATATTAAAACGTAACGTAAATGTATATATGCGAGTATTTAACTCCTCTTTGAAGTTTTGTTAAAACCACTACCATTTGATGGACAAAGTTGTTGAAACTTGAAACGCATACAAATACCTACAAATGTAAGTGTGTGAAAATGATTTTTTCAACCCTTAGACCAAATGATATATACATCACTGGACATGCTCGTATCTGATTCAAATATCTTCATATCCGACTGATATAATACGCTAAATTATAATAAAAGGGTTTATAAAGAGAATTTCGGATTGAATAACGATAATATGACCACATCATACGCGACATGAATTGTTCTCGTAAGAATAATTCGAAACGATCTCTGAATATCGAAATGTATTTATGTATACGAATCGACCATTTGGAAATTTTACCATTGTAGTAGTTGTTATACAGCAGATTGGCTTGATATTCGATCAAACGGAGTTTATACCATTGTATTATATTTTTTTTCACTTCGAATTGCATTCAAAAACAGAATGAATATTATAGTATTGACTTAAAACCATATCAAAACATTAAAACATCAAATG